CATCACCTTCACACTAACCCTTAGCCACCATCACCAGGGACAAACTGAAGTCTGATGAAACACCACCACCGTCTTCGCCAACACAATACTAACTCACCATCCGAAAAAATTATTACACAAACCCCCACTATCATCACACCTTTCAAATATCACACCACCAGTCCCCAGTCCCCCATACCACTAATCCACGCCCCCAGACAAGCCCACAAGCACGACCCACCCCCCCCACTCCACGACCCAGATCACCAGCACGACCCCCACTACCACTCACCTCCACGACAATTCGACAAGTCACAACGCACGAGGCTTGCGAGCCGACTGGCGATGAAGGAAGGTCCATGGAGTATTACAAATGAAGAAACACGACACCTTGAATCATAAAATGTAGAGTAGAAACTAATTCTACTTTTGGAGGCTAAAATTACTAGAAACTAATTCTACTTTTGGAGGCTAAAATTACTAGAAACTAATTCTAATTTTGGAGGCTAAAATTACTAGAAACTAATTCTACTTTTGGAGGCTAAAATTACTAGAAACTAATTCTACTTTTGGAGGCTAAAATTACTAGAAACTAATTCTACTTTTGGAGGCTAAAATTACTAGAAACTAATTCTACTTTTGGAGGCTAAAATTACTAGAAACTAATTCTACTTTTGGAGGCTAAAATTACTAGAAACTAATTCTACTTTTGGAGGCTAAAATTACTAGAAACTAATTCTACTTTTGGAGGCTAAAATTACTAGAAACTAATTCTACTTTGGAGGCTAAAATTACTAGAAACTAATTCTACTTTTGGAGGCTAAAATTACTAGAAACTAATTCTACTTTTGGAGGCTAAAATTACTAGAAACTAATTCTACTTTTGGAGGCTAAAATTACTAGAAACATTCTACTTTCTCTACTCTTTCACTTTCCTTACAAGAGTAACGGGGGAAGAACGCTCGACCCTGCACGGCATGTGTACTAATATACATATGTATATTTATATATACAATTTTGCTGCGGAATAAACCTCTTGGCTACTTAGGTATTCATCTAAATGTGTATTCTTCTCCCCTCATTCGTTACCATTACACAAATAGTCCCTTGGTCATATATTCCCCATTACAACCCATACACGCCCCTCCTCCCCCCTCTCCCCAGTACACCCACACACGCCCCTCCTCCCCCTCTCCCCAGTACACCCACACACGCCCCTCCTCCCCCTCCCCAGTACACCCACACACGCTCCTCCTCCCCCTCTCCCCAGTACACCCACACACGCCCCTCCTCCCCTCCCCAGTACACCCCCACACACGCCCCTCCTCCCCTCCCCAGTACAGCCCCACTCACGCCCCTCCTCCCCTCCCCAGTACACCCCCACACACGCCCCTCCTCCCCTCCCCAGTACACCCCCACACACGCCCCTCCTCCCCTCCCCAGCACACCCCCTCCTCCCAACTTTTCACAATCTCTCCCCCGTTATTGGTATCCCTAAATTTGTTTTGAACGACACATCGCGATTCACAAACGACATCGACGGGCGTGCGATAATAGCGGGTTCCCTCGGGGGGTAGCGTAGTTCCTGTTTTCCCACGGGGTGCTTCGGCTAGGTCCCCTCCTGATACCGTTGGAACCTCTCCTGTTTGGGACCAACGGAACCTTCCGTTGGATATCAATGCAAGACCAACAACGACCAGGAACCCGTATCTGTTGCGCGTGAGAGCCCTAAACCCTAATAATATTGGGGTCTGTCTCGGACATTCTGGGTTTGCGGGCAGCAGTTCAGGCCTGGTAAGATTCCTTCATTGTCGGTAAAGTCAGCCAGGTCCAATGGTCGTGGGGAGGGAGTGTTGGGGGCGTGGGGGTGTGGGGGATGGGGTGTGGTGGATAAGGGGTGTGTGGGGGAAGGGGTGTGAGGAGGAGGGGGGCAGGGGTGAGGGCTCACCTGCGGGAATCGTGAGAAATCCCAGCTAAACAATGCATTACTTGGACGTTGATTTCGCCCTAGTCTCACGGCACCGCTCGCCTCTTATGAGTGAAACTCTCATAATCATTTGCCGGCGCCACCACGACGAATCTCACCAATATTTCCTAAGTCGGAACCAGGTTCTGGGGGAAGGTTCTGGGACCAGGTTCTAGGGGGAAGGTTCTAGGGGGAAGGTTCTGGGGGGAAGGTTCTAGGGGGAAGGTTCTAGGGGGAAGGTTCTGGGACCAGGTTCTGGGGGAAGGTTCTAGGGGGAAGGTTCTAGGGGGAAGGTTCTAGGGGAAGGTTCTGGAACCAGGTTCTGGGACCAGGTTCTAGGGGGAAGGTTCTAGGGGGAAGGTTCTGGGACCAGGTTCTGGGGCCAGGTTCTGGGGCCAGGTTCTGGGGGCCCAGGTTCTGGGACCAGGTTCTGGGGACCAGGTTCTGGGACCAGGTTCTGGGGCCAGGTTCTGGGGGACCAGGCTCTGGGGGGCCAGGTTCTGGGGGACCAGGCTCTGGGGGACCAGGTTCTGGGGGACCAGGTTCTGGGGGACCAGGCTCTGGGGGACCAGGTTCTGGGGGACCAGGTTCTGGGGACCAGGTTCTGGGGACCAGGTTCTGGGGACATTCTTAATCATCATCATCCCCTATTTAAGAAATCTGAAATCCTAACATTTTATATTTATAATTGTCAATTTATGCCTGTGACAAAGGCAATAAAACGAGTACCAGCGAAGTAAAGAACGTTCACTTTGGGATCACCATAGCCCGTGCTACTGCAACTTTTGGTCCGAGTAGCAGGATTTGAACCAACAGCAGCAGCAGCAGCGAGGTGAAAGTCTGCCAGGTATATGAGATTGTCTAGGGATTTCAGGCCATTTCCCCCAAAAAATTTGAAACCTTTTTTCCCATTATTTTCTCCCCTACGCGGGCCTAGTCGCTCGTTCCCCAGTATCATAAGGCCATTCTGGCTGATCCTGCACGTATGCCGCTCCCCCCCTCCCCCCACCTGCGCCCACCCCACGAGCCCCACCCCCACCACCTGCGCTCAGTCCACGACCCTCCCTCACCACCTGCGCTCAGTCCACGACCCTCCCTCACCACCTGCGCTCAGTCCACGACCCCCCCCCTCACCACCTGCGCCCAGTCCACGACCCCCCCCCACCTGCGCCCAGTCTACGACCCCCCTCCCACCTGCGCCCAGCCCACGACCCTCCCCGCACCACCTGCGCCCAGCCCACGACCCCCCCCCCCCCACCACCTGCGCCCAGCCCACGACCCCCTCCCCACCACCTGCGCCCAGCCCACGACCCCCCCCCCACCACCTGCGCCCAGCCCACGACCTCCCCCACCACCTGCGCCCAGCCCACCTGGTTGATGGGGTTCTGGGAGTTGTTCTACTCCCCAAGCCCGGCCCGAGGCCAGGATTGACTTGTGAGAGTTTGGTCCACCAGGCTGTTGCTTGGAGCGGCCCGAGGCCAGGCTTGACTTGTGAGAGTTTGGTCCACCAGGCTGTTGCTTGGAGCGGCCCGAGGCCAGGCTTGACTTGTGAGAGTTTGGTCCACCAGGCTGTTGCTTGGAGCGGCCCGATGCCAGGCTTGACTTGTGAGAGTTTGGTCCACCACGCTGTTGTTGCTTGGAGCGGCCCGCAGGCCCACATACCCACCACAGCCCGGTTGGTCCGGCACTCCTTGGAGGAATAAATCTAGTTTCCTCTTGAAAATGTCCACGGTTGTTCCGGCAATATTTCTTATGCTTGCTGGGAGGACGTTGAACAACCGCGGACCTCTGATGTTTATACAGTGTTCTCTGATTGTGCCTATGGCACCTCTGCTCTTCACTGGTTCTATTCTGCATTTTCTTCCATATCGTTCACTCCAGTACGTTGTTATTTTACTGTGTAGATTTGGTACTTGGCCCTCCAGTATCTTCCAGGTGTATATTATTTGATATCTCTCTCGTCTTCTTTCTAGTGAGTACATTTGGAGGGCTTTGAGACGATCCCAATAATTTAGGTGCTTTATTGCGTCTATGCGTGCCATATATGTTCTCTGTATTCCCTCTATTTCAGCAATCTCTCCTGCTCTGAAGGGGGAAGTGAGTACTGAGCAGTATCAAGACGGGACAACACAAGTGCCTTGAAGAGTACAACCATTGTGATGGGATCCCTGGATTTGAAAGTTCTCGTAATCCATCCTATCATTTTTCTGGCTGTCGCAATATTTGCTTGGTTATGCTCCTTAAACGTTAGGTCGTCAGACATTATTATTCCCAAATCCTTTACATGCTGTTTTCCTACTATGGGTACATTTGATTGTGTTTTGTACTCTGTATTATGTTTAAGGTCCTCATTTTTACCGTACCTGAGTACCTGGAATTTATCACTGTTAAACATCATGTTATTTTCTGATGCCCAGTCGAAAACTTTATTAATATCAGCTTGAAGTTTTTCAATGTCCTCAGCCGAGGTAATTTTCATACTGATTTTTGTGTCCTCTGCAAAGGATGATACGAAGCTGTGACTTGTATTTTTGTCAATATCTGATATGAGAATAAGGAAAAGCAGCGGTGCAAGGACTGTACCCTGAGGTACAGAGCTTTTCACTGCACTTGGACTAGATTTTATATGGTTGACCGTTACTCGCTGAGTCCTGTTTGACAGAAAACTAAGTATCCAGCGTCCTACTTTTCCGGTTATTCCCATTGACTTCATTTTGTGTGCTATCACGCCATGGTCACATTTATCGAAAGCCTTTGCGAAGTCCGTGTATATCACATCAGCATTCTGTTTTTCTTCTAATGCCTCAGTGACTTTGTCGTAGTGCTCAAGTAGCTGTGAGAGGCACGATCTTCCCGCTCGAAATCCATGTTGGCCTGGGTTGTGAAGGTCATTGGTCTCCATGAAATTGGTGACCTGACTCCTAATCACTCTCTCAAATACTTTTATGATGTGCGATGTTAGTGCAACTGGTCTATAATTTTTTGTCAATGCTTTGCTCCCTCCCTTGTGTAGAGGGGCTATGTCTGCTACTTTAAGTGCATCTGGTATCTCCCCCGTGTCCAAGCTCTTCCTCCACACTATACTGAGTGCCTGTGTGTGGCCCAAACTGGGCCACACATTTCTCTAATCACAACAAGCATTTTGCAAAAAAAAAAATTATTGCGTCCGGTCTTGAATTACGAATCGGCAATATAAAACTGATAGTATCTATAGTTACTATGGATGGCAAAGTGTTATGACAAAATATATACTGCTGTACTTAAACAAAATAAAAAATTCACGTTTCGTGCTATTAATTTTTTAATGAGCAGCAGAAAGGAGACCACAACCAAACTTTTCCGAGGCCTAGATGAGCACATTACGTACTAAATTAGGCCTCACTTCCCCCCCCCCCCCCCTATAAGCCAGGCCTATGAGGCCTGGTCGAGAACCGGGCCGCGAGGACGCTAAGCCCGGAAATCCTCCCAAGGTATCTCAAGGTAAACCCACCCTCTACGAGGCCCTCATGGGCCTGAGGCGGGCTACGAGGCCCATGAGGGCCTCGTAGCCTGGTGGATAGCGCGCAGGTCTCGTAATTCTGTGGCGCGGGTTCGATTCCCGCACGAGGCAGAAACAACATGGGCAAAGTTTCTTTCACCCTGAATGCCCCTGTTACCTAGCAGTAAATAGGTACCTGGGAGTTAGTCAGCTGTCACGGGTTGCTTCCTGGGGGTGGAGGCCTGGTCGAGGACCGGGCCGCGGGGACACTAAAGCCCCGAAATCATCTCAAGATAATCTCAAGATAACCTCTATCCTCAACCCCACCTGCACCCAACCCACCACTTATAACTATCTTATCCAGGTCTTAACCTGTCCAACAATCCCCAATCCCACTCCCCCATCGGTGGTGGTGGTCCCCGCCCCCCCCCCTCTGTAACCCCCCATTCCAACCTGTCGGGTCTTGACGATTCAACCTTCACCCCCCCCCCGGTCACCCACACACGCACACCTCCCTCTTCCCTTCCATGACCCAGGCAAACCTTCCCTTCATGTCATGGGAGATGTCATTGAACACACACACACAATCTGTACACCAGTTGATTGACGGTTGAGAGGCGGGACCAAAGAGCCAGAGCTCAACCCCCGCAAGCACAATTAGGTGAGTACACACACACACACACACACACACACACACACACACACACACACACACACACACACACCACAAGACATAGTGCAACATTACATATAGTTCTTAACACGGTGTTAGCCTCTCTGATTCAGTCTGTACTTACTAAGACGAAAAATATTAAATGCTAGTAGGACTAATATTTCACCAAGAGGCTGTAACTCACACGTCAGGCTGCTGCGAGCAGCTGCATCTAACAGCCTGCTTGACCAGACTACCAACCAGGAAATTGAAATTGGACTAAGTTTATTGAGGTATACATACAAAGGGCATAAGGCAGCTCAAGCTATTCTCACCCAGTTCAGTACAACGTGTTCTACCAACATTCTGGTTAGTCAACCAGGAGGTCTGGTCAGAGATCGGACCGCCGGGACATTGATCCCAGGAATAAGCAACAGCTGATATACACAAAATCCAGACGATGACCTGATGATGAATTACACCACAAAAAATCTGACTTTTTTTTTTTATCTCACAAATACGCCAATAAACGTATCTCACAAATACGCCAATAAACGCTCACGATTCATCATGATTCATCATTTCGCTCATGATGGCTCAACGTGTTAAGCCTCAGAGACCTGACAAGACCCCGGGAAGCCCACCACAGGTAAACCACAGGTAAACTAGACAGAAAAAATGGACAGGTTTGTCAAGTGCTTGCGTAACAGCTTCGTGAATCTGGCTCCTGGAAAGACCCCGGGAAGCCCACTACAGGTAAACTAGTTAGAGGGTCACAACAAGGAGGTAGGACAACCAAGAATGGGCCCAACCGATGTCAATTTTCTTGTTCTCGTCGGTCTTGCCTGGAGCGACGGTCCCGCTTCATGCAGGTCGGCGTTCAATCCCCGACCGTCTAAGTGGTTGGGCACCATTCCTTCCCTCCGTCCCATCCCAAATCTTTATCCTGATCCTGGTTCCAAGTGCTATATAGTCGTAATGGCTTGGCGCTTCCTCATAGTTCCCTTACCTGGAGCATACCTGGAGAGGGTTTCGGGGGTTCTTCTACTCCCCAGGCTCGACGGTTGTTCTGCAATAGTGTTTACAGATGCACAAAGTTACATATAAAGTGGTAAGAGACATGTTAAAAGGACTCACCTTGTTCAGCTCGGGCGAGGGCTGCGATGAGGAGCACGAGAAGCAGAGGTCCTTGGGCACGGGGGCGAGGGCCCCCACCAGCAAGGGGGCCTCTGGAGGAGGTGCTGGTCCTGTGGGGGGCACCCCGGGAGCGGCGCCCCTCGCTCCAGCCCCCGGCACTCACCACACCCGCCATCACCACCTCACCATGACCTGAAACAAAATTCCGTTAGTTCGAAGCCAATCTTGAAGAGGTAAAGTTTTGAAGAGGTAATCTTTAAGAAGCATTTAGATAAGTTCTTGCAAGGAGTGCCGGACCAACCGGGCTGTGGTGGGTATGTGGGCCTGCGGGCCGCTCCAAGCAACAGCCTGCTGGACCAAGCACTCTCAAGTCAAGCCTGGCCTCGGGCCGCTCCAAGCAACAGCCTGCTGGACCAAGCACTCTCAAGTCAAGCCTGGCCTCGGGCCGCTCCAAGCAACAGCCTGCTGGACCAAGCACTCTCAAGTCAAGCCTGGCCTCGGGCCGCTCCAAGCAACAGCCTGCTGGACCAAGCACTCTCAAGTCAAGCCTGGCCTCGGGCCGCTCCAAGCAACAGCCTGCTGGACCAAGCACTCTCAAGTCAAGCCTGGCCTCGGGCCGCTCCAAGCAACAGCCTGCTGGACCAAGCTCTCACAAGTCAAGCCTGGCCTCGGGCCGTTCCAAGCAACAGCCTGCTGGACCAAGCACTCTCAAGTCAAGCCTGGCCTCGGGCCGCTCCAAGCAACAGCCTGGTGGACCAAGCTCTCACAAGTCAAGCCTGGCCTCGGGCCGCTCCAAGCAACAGCCTGCTGGACCAAGCACTCTCAAGTCAAGCCTGGCCTCGGGCCGCTCCAAGCAACAGCCTGGTGGACCAAGCTCTCACAAGTCAAGCCTGGCCTCGGGCCGCTCCAAGCAACAGCCTGCTGGACCAAGCACTCTCAAGTCAAGCCTGGCCTGCGGGCCGCTCCAAGCAACAGCCTGGTGGACCAAACTCTCACAAGTCAAGCCTGGCCTCGGGCCGCTCCAAGCAACAGCCTGGTGGACCAAGCACTCTCAAGTCAAGCCTGGCCTCGGGCCGCTCCAAGCAACAGCCTGGTGGACCAAGCACTCTCAAGTCAAGCCTGGCCTCGGGCCGCTCCAAGCAACAGCCTGGTGGACCAAACTCTCACAAGTCAAGCCTGGCCTCGGGCCGCTCCAAGCAACAGCCTGGTGGACCAAGCTCTCACAAGTCAAGCCTGGCCTCGGACCGCTCCAAGCAACAGCCTGCTGGACCAAGCACTCTCAAGTCAAGCCTGGCCTCGGGCCGCTCCAAGCAACAGCCTGGTGGACCAAGCTCTCACAAGTCAAGCCTGGCCTCGGGCCGCTCCAAGCAACAGCCTGCTGGACCAAGCACTCTCAAGTCAAGCCTGGCCTCGGGCCGCTCCAAGCAACAGCCTGGTGGACCAAACTCTCACAAGTCAAGCCTGGCCTCGGGCCGCTCCAAGCAACAGCCTGCTGGACCAAACTCTCACAAGTCAAGCCTGGCCTCGGGCCGCTCCAAGCAACAGCCTGCTGGACCAAGCACTCTCAAGTCAAGCCTGGCCTCGGGCCGCTCCAAGCAACAGCCTGCTGGACCAAGCTCTCACAAGTCAAGCCTGGCCTCGGGCCGCTCCAAGCAACAGCCTGCTGGACCAAGCACTCTCAAGTCAAGCCTGGCCTCGGGCCGCTCCAAGCAACAGCCTGGTGGACCAAGCTCTCACAAGTCAAGCCTGGCCTCGGGCCGCTCCAAGCAACAGCCTGGTGGACCAAGCACTCTCAAGTCAAGCCTGGCCTCGGGCCGCTCCAAGCAACAGCCTGCTGGACCAAGCACTCTCAAGTCAAGCCTGGCCTCGGGCCGCTCCAAGCAACAGCCTGGTGGACCAAACTCTCACAAGTCAAGCCTGGCCTCGGGCCGCTCCAAGCAACAGCCTGCTGGACCAAACTCTCACAAGTCAAGCCTGGCCTCGGGCCGCTCCAAGCAACAGCCTGGTGGACCAAACTCTCACAAGTCAGGCCTGGCCTCGGGCCGCTCCAAGCAACAGCCTGCTGGACCAAGCACTCACAAGTCAAGCCTGGCCATGGGGCCGGGCTTAGGGAGTAGAAGAGCTCCCAGAACCCCAACAAGTAGGTTGGGTTGGGTTGGGATAGGATAGGATAGGTTAGGATAGGTTAGGTTAGGTTGGGTTAGGTCACATATCTGGAGCATACCTCTCCAAGTATGCTCCAGGTATAGACCTAACTATACACTAAATTCAAATATATAATATATTTTTGAAAACACAGATTTTCAATACTCTGAACGTTGATGAATTTGATGAATTTATATGGATAAAGCGCTGTTGTTGTTTTAGATTTAGCTACTCGGAACGAAGTGTCCATGTAGCACGGGCTATGGTGATCCCGTAACTTTTTAGTTACTTTAACTAACTTTAACCAAACGATAAAGCGCTATAAGTTCAAGAATTTATAGGTATCAGCCGCACCTTGTACGAGCAGTCTGAGGAAGGGTGAAGACCTAAACTACCATCGCTGAAGACAAGAGCTGGAGCCCAACACAACCACCAAGAACTGGATAAACACCTCCAAAGGATACCTGATCAACCAGGCTGTGACTCATACGTCAGGCTGCGAGCAGCCGCGTCCAACAGCCTGGTTGATCAGTCCAGCAACCAGGAAGCCTGGTCGACGACCGGGCCGCGGGGACGCTAAGCCCCGGAAGCACCTCAAGGTAACCTCTCCTCAGCTCAAATGGTGAACTCATGCAAAGTTTGCTTGAACTCCCTTGAACCTTGTTCAAATGTATGAGACCCCTTTGGGATTGATCTATATAAATACAGCATAAATTTCTGAACACAATTTCTTTACTTCCGAACAAATCTATCGCAACACCCAGGGGTCCGATTCACGAAGCAGTTACGCAAGCACTTACGAACCTGGGGCCAGATTCACGAAGCAGTTACGCAAGCACTTACGAACCTGTACATCTTTTCTCAATCTTTGGCGGCTTTGTTTACAATTATTAAACAGTTAATGAGCCCCGAAGCACCAGGAGGCTGTTTATAACAACAACAACAGTTGATTGGCAAGTTTTCATGCTTGTAAACTGTTTAATAAATGTAACCAAAGCCGTCAAAGACTGAGGAAAGATGTACACGTTCGTAAGTACTTGTGTAACTGCTTCGTGAATCTGGCCGCAGAACTATAGGGGCCTCACAGCTTGAGTGGACAGCGCTCGGGATTCGTCGTCCTAAGGATCCGGGTTCGATCACCGATGGACGCGGAAACAAATTAGCAGAGTTTCTTTCACCCTGATGCCTGCCCCCCCCCCCTGTTCACCTACCAGTTAGACAGCTGCTACGGGCTGCTTCCTGGGGATGTGTAACAAAAAAGGAGGACTGATCGAGGACCGGGCCGCGGGGACGTTACGCCCCGAAATCACCTCAAGATAACCTTAAGATAGCACAACGAACAGAACAACAGAGACTGCAGTCTCCGTGGTGTAGTGGTAAGACACTCGCCTGGTGTTCCGCGAGCGTTTTGTCATGGGTTCGTATCCTGGCCGGGGAGGATTTACTGGGCGCAAATCCTTAACTGTAGCCTCTGTTTAACTCAACAGTAAAATGTGTACTTGGTTGTAACAACGATTCTTCGCGGCAGGGGATCGTATTCCAGGGACCTGCCCGAAACGCTACGCGTACTAGTGGCTGTACAAGAATGTAACAACTCGACTTGCAGCGGCACGGCACAAGCCCCATTACTCCTGCCAGCGTGTACAATGACATACGCACGGACACCACAACATTATATCGAACACCGACCCGCCTCGCCTCAGGTGACAAAGGTTAACAATTAATCAAAATGATTGGACTACAAAAACTATAAAATGGCCGCCAGGCGTCTCAGCCAGACAAACGGACCCGGAGACAATAGTCACTCTCATTTCCTGTCGGTTTTAAGGTGACAATTATAGGAGGACTCAAATGGTTCTCTCACCCAATTACGGAACCCTTAGGATACTCTTACGACGCAGGATAGAAAAGACATAAATTTATTGCATTCACCCTAAGTGAGATGTATTTCCAACCTGAATTAAGGATCAGATAAACGCAGCTGTTGTTGTTGTTTAAGATTCAGCTACTGGGAACAAAAGGTTCCAAGTAGCACGGGCTATGGTGATCCCGTAGTGGACTTACCTGGCACAGGAGCGGGGCAAGTAGCACGGGCTATGGTGAGCCCGTAGTGGACTTACCTGGCACAGGAGCGGGGCAAGTAGTACGGGCTATGGTGAGTCCGTAGTGGACTTACCTGGCACAGGAGCGGGGCAAGTAGCACCGGCTATGGTGAGCCCGTAGTGGACTTACCTGGCACAGGAGCGGGGCAAGTAGCACCGGCTATGGTGAGTCCGTAGTGGACTTACCTGGCACAGGAGCGGGGCAAGTAGCACGGGCTATGGTGAGCCCGTAGTGGACTTACCTGCCACAGGAGCGGGGCAAGTAGCACGGGCTATGGTGAGCCCGTAGTGGACTTACCTGGCACAGGAGCGGGGCAAGTAGCACGGGCTATGGTGAGCCCGTAGTGGACTTACCTGGCACAGGAGCGGGGCAAGTAGCACGGGCTATGGTGAGCCCGTAGTGGACTTACCTGGCACAGGAGCGGGACTGTAACTTATAAACGTAGCAATATTGAGGATATATAAATGATGTGAAATAGGTCTGTCCCCGAGGCGTAAGTGAGTATGGTGTGTTCTGATTGGTTCTTGCTCCCTGCTACTTCCCCCCCCCCACCCCACCCGCTCCCCTTCTCTCACGGCTCATAGGCCAGATACCCTGACAACCTACCCTGATACCTAATCTATTTTGACCAACCAGACGACAGCAGATATGAGAGGCTAATGACCAATCACCGGAGGCCATTCCCGCATACACGTGGCAGGGCTTAACGCACATACGTCACTACGTCACTAAACGAGTCATCCGACGTCTACCCAGACACTACATACACCTTCTTGAGGTTATCTTGAGGTTATCTTGAGACAATTTCGGGGCTTAGCGTCTCCGCGGCCCGGTCCTCAACCAGGCCTCTTTTTTGTTACACATCCCCAGGAAGCAGCCCGTAGCAGCTGTCTAACACCCTGGTACTGATTTACTGCTAGGCAATAGGGGCATCAGGGTGAAAA